GCGCCTTATTTGACAGTAATTTATTAGTCATTTAAGTTAATAAGTCTACATAATTCTTGTAACCTATTTTCATAAAAAATACTTTCAAATACGATTAGTATGGATAAGTCTCAAATCAGCGATCTGCTTATGAGATTAAAGTGGTTAACAAATTATTTTGAACCAAATATGAATTTTATCCTTTTGTGGATTTAATTTTTAACTTAAAGTTTTGTGAAATAAAGCTTTACCTATATAATGACAACCAAGATGCTATTTTAATATTATTCGTCCTAACATACGCCAACACATACAATGTTCAAGCAAAACTTACATATACCTTACAATTTTATATTAAAATCTACATTTATAGGTATTAGCACTGATTATTATCTTTACATGAGCGAGTGAGTTAGTTTTTAATGGTACTGTTGTGGTACTCTTCACCACTGTATACGCTACACTATGTCCATCTCCAGATCCGTTTCGCCATCAGAGTCAAGAAGCTTCCGCTTATCTTGCGATGCCTCGTTCAGGCTGATCAAAGGACGCACTTTTCCTGTATTCACAACAGGGCTTAGCGAGTATAAATATATAGCAAATGATACCACTGCAATGGCCATCGCTGTATTGATATAAATCGGTATAGCGAAGAGAAAATAACAAAGTACAGCTGTAAACATTAGCTCTAATGCGCTTGCAAAAGTCTTCACAATAGAATTCATATATTTCAAAAAGAAGCTGGTAACAATACCGATGGCCGCATTGTTTACTATAATAATGATTACATTAAATCGCCAAATAGCTCGTAGGCTATCTGCTGTGAAAGCGCCAGCCAACTGACCATTTATCAGCAATATTAGCGCATTGCAAATAATGGAATCGACATACATAAAGACATTCTGTACAAATATGTTGACATCAGCACCTTTGTCCTTCAGCAAATATTCGTTGTAAACACCAGCAAGACACGAAAATATCGTTTGTGCCAGTATGAGTACGGCACTGAGACTTAGGCGAATTGTGTGTGTGCCTCATGTGTTTCTGGTGTTAATGCGCTAGCGCTTTTCATATATTGGTGCTGGCGCGGCAACTCCGGCTACGGTGATAGCGCAATTGCGAGGCGAACCGCAGTGTTACCCATACCTAGCGCATTGATGTAAGGGTGGGTAACTCAGCAAATTTATAGGAGATGACTCAATGACTCCAACTCACTTTAAGGAGTCAGCTCATTCAACTAACTCATTTGACTCTTTGTATGTTACACTCATTCGTATCGTAGACTCGTTTTGAGGCATAGATGCGGTATAGCGGCCGTTGAGATAAAACAAAACTTTAAAGTGGGCGTGGTCAGCTCCTTTCTACTGATTTGAAAGGTGTAATTTTTGTTTGTGTGCAAATTAATAGGGCGGTGCTAGGGGGAGGGTAAAGGTGGAATTTTCAATATTTTCAAAAGCTTATATTTCGAAACCTATTGTACCGAATTTCAAAATGTGGATATGGTTGGAAAGGCAATTGATTTGATATGCACATCTTTATATATTTTACATACTAACATATTTCGAGAAAAACTAAAAAAAAAACGAAATTATAAGAATTTG